AGCCAGAACTCGTGAGTGCGTGCATCCAAAACGGGGGGGGTAGAAATCAAATGTCTACATGAAGGAGCTTGTAAAAGGGTTGGCGTTCGACCCGCTCGTGTTCCGATAGCGGCGGACGCAGGACGTGACGGGCGTAGTGCTGGGTGCGTTCGAGGGTGCGCGCATGAAATGTGTGGTGTTCCGGGAATGTGAAACACGTTCATCGAAGACACGAAGCGAACGGCAAGCTGCCCAGAGTTCACAGTTCACTTCCCTTTCAGAAAGTCTTTCCATCAGGAAAGATCTCAAGAGGATCAAGAAAGGACAGTTCATCACAGCGCTTTCTTTCATCAAGAGAGCTTTCTCATGTCTTTCCTTCCGAAGTGACCTACTGCAAGCCCAAGACATGTCCAGTTCGAGTATCTAGTCCAACGGGTCCGTGTGTGTTTTTTTTGAAACTCCTTCGCTCGCGAATCGCCCTGTTTTCCCGAATGCGTAGCGAAGGGTTCTCGTTTAACTTGGGAGTCTGAGGGTAGAGCTGTGTTTGCCCGACGTTGTTTTCGAGTTCGCAACCGTCCGCAACCGTTTGCAACCGTCCGCAACCGTCCGTATGATGTCTCTATGGCCGTGCCATTGGGGGAAGCTTTTGGAGTAGGTTTCGGATGAAACCGTGACGTGTCAGATTCGTGTGAAATAGCGAGGAATCGTGTGGAAATGTAAGATGCTGAAGTGTGGAGGATGATTTGACTGCGCAGGCGCAGCCTTTTGTGAGATCCGCAGTTTACTGCGCAGTTCCATTGGGACTAGCGTTTGGAGAGTCGTGTTTTTGGGGTGTTGGATGTGGCCGTGCCATTGGGGTTTGCGTTTCAGGGTGTGGCATCGAAGCGCTGTGTTCGTGACAAGTCTCAGCTGAAATGGTGAATTTGGTGGATGGGAGTGTGCTCAGAACGGGCCGAAATCATTCCAAACGTGTGGTGCGGTGCAAATTTTGTTGAAGCTCACATGAGATGATATTGTCACTTTTCGTGGCAGGCGCAGTACTTTGTGCGGGGCTTGCGGTGTGGAAGTGCGATTTTCGTGGCAGGCGCAGGGAATCGTGAGGTTGTGATGTGTGACGGAGGTGACATTTCGTGGCAGGCGCAGTACTTTGTGCGCGTTAGACGTGTGGACGCGGAAAGATTCGTGGCAGGTGCAGGGAATCGTGAGGTTGTGAGTTGTGGTAGAGGTGAATGTCGCTGTGACATTGGGATTGGCGTGTGAGCGGGTGTTGTTTGGAGGGGCTGGAATCGCGAAACTGCTTGGCAGGGCTGCGCGATGGGTGTGCTCCGACGGGTGTTTCCGCTTGACTTTGGGAGGAAGTCTCGTACGAAACGCTCGTTTTGCAGACTTTGACATATCAGTTTTTGAGGAAGTCTCGTACGAAACGCTCGTTTTGGAGCCATGACGTGTGACTTTTGGAGGAAGTCTCGTACGAAACGCTCGTTTTGGAGACGTGTGACTTTTGGAGGATGTCTCGCAAAAAACATTCGCTTGCAGACTCAAAAAGTGTGACTCGAAGCCTCTCCGGGTGGACACTCTTGTAGGACACTCTTGTGGGTCACTCTTACAGGACACTCTTATGGGACACTCTTGTGGGACACTCTTGTAGGACACTCCTGTAGGAAACGCTCGTTTTGGAAGTGAGGATTGTTAGGGTTCAGTTAGGCATGAGGTGGCTCCCAAGCAGTGGCACCCTGAAAACATGCACTTCTCTAGGCTCCCACATTTCCGGTAATAAGCTTTAAGGTGGTGATACCCCCTCAATTCACAGTAGGAATCTCAAGTTTTGGTTGAAAAGTGGTGCCACCCAAATCAGATATAATATTGGAACCTGAATCCCTCCCAGTGCCCCTGTGCAGGACTCGTCGGGGTTTCCTTTGCTTGGCTCTCTTCCTGTTTCTTGCCTTGGAGTGACCCTTCAACTCAGGCCACCCGGATGACCATAGCATAGAGCACGATTGTGGCAATAACCTTTACGCTGCAGTCTGCAGACCTTTATGCCCTGAGATCGTACTGCAAGAAATGAACAACGAATCGAATCTCGGGGACGTGGTGGAGTCTTTATTTGTATTAGACCACCGCGAACGTTACCACCTGCGGGGCTCCGTTCCCCACGAAGGGGTTGGCGACTTCGTGGCCATGCTTTGCTTAGCACTGGAGCGCTTCCGCTTTGTTACGCGGATGCATGGCTTTTCTGCAGACATTTGGTGCTGGGCCGACTTAGAACCATACTACTTGCAAGCAATTAGCTGGTGTAAAACGCTTGGCTGGATTGTCAGGTTTCGTGAAAGTCTCGTGTAAAACGCGCGTTTTGGAAGTCTGGAGTCAGTTTTCGTGCAAGTCTCGTGTAAAACGCTCGTTTTGGGAGTCGGAAGCATCAGTTTTCGTGACAGTCTCGTGTAAAACGCTCGTTTTGGAAGTGGGGATTGTTAGTGGTAGTGAAAGGCTGGTGTAAAACGCTCGTTTTAGAAGTCTGGATTGTAAGTTTTCGTGAAAGGTTCGTGTAAATGGTAAGCGTGTCAAGAAAGAGTGTTCTGTCAAGAGTGTCAAGAAAGAGTGTCCTGTGAAGAGTGTCTAGCAAGAGTGTCAAGAAAGAGTGTCCTATCAAGTGTCTAGCAAGGGTATGAAGAAAGATTGCCCTGTCAATCAAAATGCTCGTTTTGCAAGCTGGCGGAGTGTTTAGCACAGAGTGGCAAGAAAGAGTGTCTAGCTCTAGTGTCTAGCACAATGGTATTTCAAGAGTGGCAGAGTGTCCCAGCAAGAGTGTCAAGCTTGCTGCGTTTCAAATGGCTCTACTGTAGCGCAAGCAAAGTGATCGTCAGACGAGTGCAGCATAGGCAACGCTAGTCCGATTTGCTAGAGGAATTTGTTTGCAGGGATTCACAGAGAGTGTCTACGGTTTATTTGGAAGCAGGGTTTCTGGATCTTTAGCATAGTGATGAATGCTAGGCCGACTGTAGAGGGTAGCTGGTTCGCAGAGATTTACAGAGAGTGTCGTGGGTTTAGGCAGGGTCTGTGGACCAGCAAGAGTGTCAAGCTTGCTGCGTTTCAAGTGGCTCTACTGTAGCGCAAGCAAAGTGATCGTCAGACGTGTGCAGCATAGGCAACGCTAGTCCGATTTGCTAGAGGAATTCATGTGAACATGACGCCGTGGCTGGATGTTGCTCATCACAAGGGCGAAAACTTGGCTCCTGGGAATGAGACACTTGTCTACCAGCTCCCGCTGCCAAAAGCTGGCAAGACCAACCTGATCGATGTCCTGAACAAATTTCATCAAGACTTCGCTGTCAAGCTCACTCTACGGGGCCATGCCAGAGATGAGAAAAAGCAAAAAACTTGGTCGGATGTGGGAGGTGAGATGCTGGACAAAATCCATCGGGTGACTTTGACGGTGGATGATAACAAGTGCGCCACCAAGTTGACCCCAGAGAGAAGGCTGGAACAATTGAGAGCTGCAGAGAATATGGTGGACGCTTTCTTCAAGAACCTCGTGTGTGCCTCCCAGCAAGAACAGGTCTACATGTTGTGGCCGGAATCTTCAAGCACACCATCCGACTCCAAGGCATCGGTTGCAAAGGCAAGTGGCTCAGTCCCCGCCGGTTCCAGCGGTGTAACGACAAGTGCCTCAGTCCCCGCCAAGTCTTGGACCGCAAAATGCGACGCTCAGGGGGACATTGTCTCTCTGCGACCCAACGACCATGTCCCTGTTCCTTCTTCGCAGACTCCACCAGAAGCTGCTTCTGATCAAGGTGGCACAGGTTTCGAAGCTCCGACACCGCAGTTACTACAAGACATTGCTGGCATGTCGCAGGTAGAGCGCGTGCGTCGCGCAGAAGCTGCGCGGGGTGATCTCGTCGAGATTTGGAAAGAGAAGGCGAAACTGGAAGGACGTGGCCACGACTACAGGGGTGTCATTTCCCCTGAGTGCATGGTTGGTCTTCCGGACTTGATGGAGGTGAGATGTTGTTGCTGTTGTTGTTGTTTTTGCCGTTGTGGTCGTTACGGTTGTTGTGGTTCTTGGGGTTGTTGTTGTTGTTGTTGTTGTTGTCGTGGTTCTTGTGGTTCTTGTGGTTCTTGTGGTTCTTGTGGTTCTTGTTGTTGTTGTTGTTGTTGTTGTTGTTGTTGTTGTTGTTGTTGTT